TCCTGGGCAACAAAGCCAAAGCAGGAGGCATTACTCTCCCTGACTTGAAATTATACTACAAAGCTGCTGTGATAAAGTCAGTGTGGTACTGGCAAAAAAAAAAAAAAAAAAAAAAAAAAAAAAAAAAAAAAAAAAAAAAAAATAAAAAAAAAAAAAAAAAAAAAAAAAAAAAAAAAACAAAACAAGAATCAATGGAACAGATTATAAAATGCACACATAATACACACACAGTCATCTTATCTTTCACAAATGGGCCAAACATGTTCACTGGAAGAAAGATAACCTCTTTAACAAATGGTGACAAGAAACTGACTCTCCACATGCTGAACACTAAAACTAGACATGGGTCTATCACCATGCACTAAACTATAATAAAAATGGATTAAAGATTTAAACATTCAAACAGAAACACTAAATCTCCTGGAAAATAAATGAAAAATCAGGTAGAAATATTGAACACATAGGGTTGTGCAAGTAGTTATTGAACAAAAATCAAACTACATAGGAAATACTTCAAAAAATCAACAACTGGGACCTCCACTTATTGAGAAGTTTCTGCACATCAAAAGAAATCCCCAACAGAATGAAAAGAAAATCCATAAATTTGGAAAAAATCTTAATCAACATTCTCTCTGCCAAAGTTCTCTCTTATTGGGAAGAAATCATTAAGTTTAGAGCAGAAGTTAATGCAATTGAGATGAAGAAAACAATACAAATAATTAATTAATCCAAAAACTGTTTCTTTTACACGGTAAATCCAAATGATATAACCATAGCTACCCTAATCAAAAACAGGAGAAAAGCTGAAATTGAAGCTTATAAAGAACTAAAATGAATTAGGACAACAATATTTTAAGACCCAATATGAAAGTGGAAATCTGAAATGAATACACACTTCTCAGAGGAAGAAATACAAGAGGCAAATAAATACATGAAAAAATGCTCCTCAGCAGAGGCTATTTGATAAATGCAAAATAAAACAACATTGAGCTACCTCCTCACCCTAGGAATAATGTCTATCATAAAGAAATCAACTAATAAAAAGTGCTAGAGAGGCATCATGGAAAAAGAAACCCTTTTCTATTGCTGGTGGGAATGTAGACTGGTACGGGCACTATGGGAATCAGACTTTTGAAAGCATGATGGAAATCAATGTGGAGATACCTCTAGAATTGGAGATCCACAATCCAACTATCTCCCAATGAAATCTATGTGTATTTTTTTGTTTTGTTTCCTTTCTTTTTCTTTTCTTTTCTTTTCTTTTCTTTTCTTTTCTTTTCT